ATGTTACGATCTACGTTGCATTTACAATGTAGACGAGTTCGGGTTGTTCTTCAACATGCTCCCAGACAAGAGTATGGTGATTGCGGGCGAGGACACGCACGGCAACAAGCACAGTAAGGCGAGGCTCACGGTCCTGTTAGGCAGCAATGCTGACGGCACTGACAAGTTACCGCGCCTAGTGATAGGGAAGTCTGTCAATCCCAATGTTTTGTCGGGGTACGCAACCTGCCGTGCCCGTACTTATCTCAGCCAAAAGCTTGGATGACATCTAAAGAATTCCTCTCATTCCTAAGTTTGATGCCCGCATGCGCATTCAAGAGAAGAAGGCCCTTATGTTCGTCGACAACTGCCCTTGGTACTCCACTCGAGTTGAACTGCAAAATGTGAAAGTGATTTTTTCCCCCAAGAATTGCACATCCGTTCTGCAGCCAATCGACCAGGGAGCCAGAGCCTGCCCGACAAGAGCCTGACCGTCCAGAGCCTGCACGTGAAGAGCCTCGCCGCGGCCGCAAGCCTGCACGTCATGGACGACATGTGTTGGAGTCGAGCGGGAAGGAAGACGACAACACCGAGCGTCCTCGTGCGACCCGCGGCCGCCGGCCCGCAGTGGTGGACTCCAGTGGACTCGAAACTGTTCGGCACTTCTACCAACAGCAGGAGCTCCCAGATGATGTTATGGCCCTAATATCTCGCCGTGAAAAAGTTTTAATTAGTCAAAGTTACCAAAGCAAAAAACAAAGTCACATCACTATTTTTTTCAAAAATACATGCTGAGCTTTCCTGTATAGAACTAGTGAATTCTTTTTTTTCTAGTCTTTTATCTTGACTTTATCTTGACACTATGTAAAGTACTATGTTAGTCTATACTCGCAATAAATCTTGACTTTATCTTGACTCTATGTACAGTACTATGTTAGTCTATACTCTCAATAAATCTGTTTATTTTGTTCAAAAACTGTCTAATTAATAATAATAATTGCTCTTTGTGGACAGAAAGTAGTTAGAAACCTGTCAAAATACCCAAAGTGCCACCCCCTGCAACTAATGGTTAAAAAAGGGTCGATACTCTCGATACCCGTTTTTAACGTTTTCCGGTTATAACGTCACGATTATCGTCTCCCTAGGGATAACGATGTATCCGGGTTGAACTGTAGTTCGTTTGAATTAAAAGTTCAACAGTTGGCAGGAGTTCGCCGCCGCGGCGAAGTGTGGCCAGTCGCCACTAAGTGGTGCTTGCGCAGAACAAGGGTGCGAGTGAAGTACGAACAACCTCACGATTTTGATACCTTCTCAACAGTGATTCAAGTATCAGATGGTCAAATAACCAATACGTTCTTTCATGATCAAGATTTTGGAGTCTCTGCTGAATGATAATTTTTTGCCACAAGCCATGAGAAATGTGCTTGTGATGGACTTGGTGGTTCTGTAAAACGAACAGCATGGCTCCACAGTCTAAGAAACAAAGACCCAGAGAAAAAACAAGCTGGGCCCGCTCTTCCGCCAAACCAAGTTGCCAGCTCCGCTTCGCTCCACCGGCAACTCGGTTCGGCAGGGAGCGGGCCCAGCTTGGCCTGCCGGCGGCGTTTGGGACGGGCCTTCGGCCCGTCCCTTCTGAATTTTTATGGTGTAATACATCTTCTATCAGAAAATGGGCCTTCGGCCCGTTTGAGTAACGGCTCGCTTCGAACCATCTTTTTGCCAGGTACCTTTTCTGTCTACTTCGTAAGTAAAACTCAACAAACGAAGTATTCTTTTCATACGCTGAACATCTTTGGCTGTGTGTGCCGCAGTTTGTAGAATACATGCAAGTTATGCCGAAATTTTAAGTTATTGATGTTAGCTTATGAATCCAATAACACACCTATGAAAATGTATATAAGACTAGACCTAGAAGTTAAATATACTTCCAGGCATACTCTGAATGACACCGAACGTGTTCAAACAACAAAAAACTAAATGTGTTTTTTTTGTGGTTCTTTTGCATAAAAGTGTACACGTTTTATTAATGATGTGCCACCATAAAATAAGCCCACTCTTCTGCTTAGAAGAAAATTTTGAACCGGCCGCATACTTCTCAGACAGAAGTGTACTTCTGAAAAAATAAAAATATTTCTGTTTTGGCCATTTTCGTGAGAGAAACTCCATCTATCGCCTAAACGGTGAGAGATAGAGCCAAACGGACGAAATTTTATCCCACAGGACTCTATTTTCACAAGTTACCCCCTCGGACACCATCAAATATTTACTAAACTTAATATATTGTTTCGGGGTCACTTTTGTCAGAAAAACTCCCTCTAGCGCCTAGACGGTGAGAGATAGAGGCAAACGGACGAAATTTTAGCCCAAAGGGTTCTACTTTCCCTAGTTACCCCTTAGGAAACCATCAAATATTTTCTAAGCTGAATATATTGTTTTGGGGCCACTTTTGTCAGAAAAACTCCCTCTAGCGCCTAAACGGTGCGAGATAGAGCCAAACGGACAAAATTTTAGCCCAAAGGGCTCTACTTTCACGAGTTACCCCTTAGGAGACAATAAAAAAAATATTTTTGTTCCACTTCTTGGACCAACCCCTATTTCTTTGTTACCCCCTCAGACCCACTCAGGGGTGGTTGCCAGGATTTGCACCAACCGTTTCGTTGTCCAGAAGTGACAACAATAATACCCTGAAAATTTCAGACCTCTAGCTCACGTCCTTCTTGGGGAACGGACAGACGGACAGACAGACAGACAGACAGACAGACAGACAGACACAGAGGCGATGGCATAAGCCCGCTTATATAGCTTTTAAGCAAAAGAGCGGGCTAAAAATCTGCAGAAGAGCTGTATAATTTTTTTTTCAAAAGAGTGAAAAAATGAATTTTTCTTATGCAATTTCTCAAGGGGTACTGGACCATAATAAAATTTTAAAGAAGAGATTCCAAACTGCTTTACCAATGGAAGGAATTCAGTCAGAACCTGATATAATACCATGGTATTATACCGGGCAAGGTAAGGTAAAATAGCAAGAATTAATCAATTGCATGAGTTACAACCGAGATAACGATCTGCTAAAGAGAAAGAAGAAAAGCGCCAGAGGAAGAAAGAACACAATCATATTTGAAGGTTGCATTATAAAAATCTTATAAATATATGGAGGTCATGTAAAAGGCATCTAAATATAGACGTCGACTGATGGACGTCTAATAGATACCTCCATAGAGACAATCAAGACGGTCTAATAGACGTCTACCGAAGAAGTCTATTAGACAACTTGCCGTCTAGCAGTAGATGTCTATTAAACATCTAATAGACGTCTATTTTCTCTTCGGACATCTAAAAACGGTATTTCAGTGACCCTCAAAACTTATTCTAATGCACCAAGTGGAAAAGAGAAAACAATATCCAGCAGTGGAAGTCGTTTACAGTTTTCTGATGTCAGAGGTTTCGTTCTGTATGCAGATCCAGTCCAACACAAGTGGCAATTGGGGTACATTGAATATAAAAATGAAGCAACTGAAGATTTTGAAGTTACAGTCTTAGACTTGACTGGCATGAAGCAAAGTTACTCATTTAGTGATGTTCAACAGACTGTTAATGTCCAAGACATTACCCTCTTGGCTGGACCAATTATGATGAAAAGAAGTCAGATACATAAGCTTCTTGCCAAGCACATCAAGGGAGCCAACATATAATATGCAAATTAAGATAAATGCAATACAAAACTATAAGCAGTGCCCTAAAATTGAGTAGCAGAAGAGCAGCAACTTGGATACGTCGGTTCGAGGTCCGTTTCTAGCGCTGGGGCTCAGGCGCTCATGTCAGGGTGGGCAGCCGACTGCACACAGCGGTTGGCCGGCTGGCCTACCCCACGTTTTGCAGGCGCTACAGCGTCACCTGAGCCTGTAGGGAACACGGTGATGTGTGTGTGTGTGTGTGGGGGGGGGCTGGTGAAAGCCAGGTGTAGAGCCCGCGCATGCCACAAGCTGGAGAGAAAGGGGGGGGGGGTCGGATCGAAGGGGCGCTAGTAGGTACGTTCCAGAGGTTCACGAGAAATGAGATATCTAGAGAACGAAAAATAAATACTTCTTGCCGTTGGTGGTTTCGTTTAGGGGACACTTTAAGCTATCTCTTGAGCCATAGTACGCCGTTTTCTATCAAACAACTCTATTTTTAATCTTAAATTGAAATACTCAACTTTTAATAACTGTTTAGGATTTTTCCCCAAAAATTATTTTTAAACATTTTCTGTTCCTTTTTTTTGTCCTCTTTTCAAATATCACTTCGTTTTTTGTTAAATTTTTCAAGGAGAGACGGAAAATCTGAAAATTCCGCAATAACGGCCTCCCCCTCGTACGGCAAACGGTGCGACTTATCGAAAAAAAATCCCGTGGCATGTGTTTCACAAAAATATGACCTATAACTGAAGGTAGTGTAAAAAAAAAATCCAGGGGCGAGGGGAGTTGTCATTTGTTGAGTTCCAAAATAGCTGCCCTTCTGTTTCCTCGCGGCGGTTTACGACCCCCTGCAGACGCGCACCTGACGGGAAGGTACCCAGCCGAGGCTTGTCCGGCACCGTTCGGGGACACTTCGGGCTGCGGCTCGGGGTCTGTCGCCTCATCGCTGGGTGGACTGGGGAGGCGGGGTCGCTGGGACCGTGCAGTACCGGAGCCGAAGATGGCTTCGGCTTCCGAAGACAGCCGAACGTGGGTACCGTCCGAGGGCCCCGAGGCATCGAGGGACGGCCATTAACCGGACACGGAGGACAATAGATAGGGCCTCCTTAAGCAGTCTATATGACTAATATGTCTATGGTTGTGTCCATGTGTTCTAGTGGCTCTACCTTCCCCTGTTGATTCTTAAAGCTGTTTAGCCATACACCCTGCAAGAATTACTTTCGCTCTATGTTATGCTGCCCGGTCTGTGTACTGCACTACTCCGCAACCGAGCTTACCTTCTCGCCCTCTCTTTAGTTATGTCCACTCCGGTTTGCGTTGTGCGAGGCATCAATAAACTCTGGCCAATACTTCTCTTGGTTTATTTATCAAGCTCCGTACACAATATATATAATAAAATTTTATCCACATTAGAAACATGCCTTCATCAGTACAGGGGCTCGCAACGCAGTGCTGAGGCCGGGGCCCATGCGCGAGCCCCGGAAGTCGCCGCCCGGACGGCGCGAACCGGCCGTTCAAACCGCCGCTTAGTGCTCCTCACTGTAGATTTGCTATTTTTAAAATACTTTGCCATGCAAGAATTGTTTCAGAAAGTGTATAATACGTTGCCTCAGGTCTCAAGGATATAGAATCTAACAAGATCTCCCCTGTTTGGCGTCTCTTATTTTGTAAATGAACAAAACTATTTGCGAGCGCTGTGGAGACTCTGTCGCACTGGTCCCATGATTTCAGTATTTCAGGCGAAATGACGCCCGACCCACATCAGGCCTTCGATAAAGAGGTAAGATACACAATGGCAAAGTGCTTTATAGGTAGCTGATGTCGAATCGGTACCTCCAACATTAAAAATAACGATTATAAAGCCGAGCCCATCGTTCGACCCCTAACCCCAACTCATGTTTATCAACATTTTATAAATGTTTACACTTTTATTTACTCACGAGGGTGCAGCCTATCCCAGGCCAAATTCTATAAACTTTCACATTTTTGTAGTGTCATTTGTGTACTTACTGCGGTTTATCTCAAACTTTCTACAACACTCAGCACTGTAGCAGTTAGCCCTCTCCCGGCCGAAGCCTAAAAAAGCTTCAAACTTGCAATTTACCTTTCTTTGTGACGAAATAGCAGTCATATTACACCAGAGCAATATACTTACACTAGGAAACAACTGTGTTCTTAAAGATTAACGCTGATATCACTGGAAATTGTATATTTTTGTTCGGTGAATGCTCTGCGACGTCTGCGAGTTTAGGTGCAACATAACCTCCTAACCTCTCCAAGCGGACACCGACTATCTCTCGAAGAATTCATGTTATCAAGGCCTCTGGATTGAAACAACGATTTGAAAGAGTGTGTCTGAAGTAAACTTTAGTTTTATTACGTATTCAAAACGTTATTTCGCCGATCACAAAGGAAAACAACAAATTTGAGCTTTTTTAGGCTTCGGCCGGGAGAGGGCTAACTGCTACAGTGCTGAGTGTTGTAGAAAGTTTGAGAAAAACCGCAGTAAGTACACAAATGACACTACAAAAGTGTGAAAGTTTATAGAATTTGGCCCGGGATAGGCTGCACCCTCGTGTGTAAATAAAAGTGTAAACATTTACAAAATGTTGATAAACATGAGTTGGGGTTAGGGGCCGAACGATGGGCTCGGCTTTATAATCGTTATTTTTAATGTTGGAGGTACCGATTCGACATCAGCTACCTATAAAGCACTTTGCCATTGTGTCTCTTACCTCTATATCGAAGGCCTGATGTGGGTCGGGCGTCATTTCGCCTGAAATACTGAAATCATTGGACCAGTGCGACAGAGTCTACGCATCGATCGCAAATAGTTTTGTTCATTTACAAAATAAAAGACGCCAAACAGGGGATATCTTGTTAGATTCTATATCCTTGAGACCTGAGGTAACGTATTATACACTTTCTGAAACGATTCTTGCATGGCAAAGTATTTTAAAAATAGCAAATCTACAGTGAGGAGCACTGAGCGGCGGTTTGAACGGCCGGTCCGCGCCGTCCGGGCGGCGACTTCCGGGGCTCGCGCATGGGCCCCGGCCTCAGCACTGCGTTGCGAGCCCCTGATCAGTAAAGTACAGACGTTTCGTCATACTTAACGCATGTTTGGAATAGGGATCAAATCATGCATAATCCGCCATTCTATCAAAATTGGAACCCCAAGAACTACGAAGTGCCGTGAAGCTATCGTCCCGGGTCAGGTCATTAAAGAACGCCTGGAGGCGTGACCTGAGGTACGGGTGGTTCAGGTTGTGCTTCAAGTACACCTCAGCACGCGCCGGCACGTCACTCCAGGGGGCTGCGAGTGGGGCGTCAGCCGCGAGCATGCCTCCAATGACAGCGGCGTCCCTGCCGCGGGCCCCGTCGTAGTAAGTAGGGCGGGGGGGTGGAGGGGGACGGGGTGGGGGCTCCATCGCCTTGGCGACGCCATACGCGACGCCGCCGGCAGCGGCGATGCCACCGATGACCGCCAAGGCGGTTAGGACGAAGCGCTTCCTGCGCCGACGCCACAACGAATGCGGTCGGTGGTCGCCGCCGAGCCCCCCGCGGCCCCCAGTCCCCCGCGCGCCGGAATGGACCTCTAGTACGGCAGTCTCCGGCGATATCGGCTTCCCACCCAGGTTTATGAGCGTAGCAGAGCCCGGCTGCCCGCCGAGTCCGCCGGCGCCGCCGTCCCCCCCGTTGCCGCCGTTGCCGCCACCGCTCTGCCCGGCGCCACCGTCACCGCCGCGCTGCCCTGGCCCGCCATCGCCACCGCTCACGGAGACGTGCAGTGTGCCGGTGAAGTCCTTGCCAAAGCCGATGAAGTGGCCTCCCGGTTTGCCCGGAAGTCCGGGCTGCCCATCTTCACCACGTTGGCCAGCGTTTGCTCTCCTGTAGACGACTAAAGTCTCCCCGTCCTGTCCGTCCAGGTTGATGACTGGGTAGCCGACGGCCTCCCACCGTGGGGCGATGATCACCAGCGACCCGCCGGGCAGGCGCAGGCTGGCGTCCACGAACACGGTGTTGAGCGCGTACACCTCGATGGCCCGGATGTGCCCGTGGCACTGTTTGAGAGCTTCCGCGACCTCCGACAGAAGAACGGTGTCGCCGCGCACAACGAGGATGCCGCTGGGGAGGCACTCGCTCTCAGGGGCGCGGCGGACGCGGGCCAGCAAGGCGTCTAGGTCTGTCAGGTTGGCGAAGTCGGTCGACGAGCGGCTCAAGAATAGGCCCAAGCGTCTTGCCTCCGTCTCCAGTGTCGCCAGGTTGTCGACTGCTGCGGGCATGTTGGTCCGGTGCGCCTGCAAGCACGCACAAAGTTTGGTGTGTATGCGTTCTGAATCCTTTTAAGCGTACACTAGTAATTATTTCACGTTTAAACATGTAGGGCGCACTGTATATTATACAAGGTAGACGCACGTTAAAACCGTGTGAGGCTGAGCTAAATGTGCGTCTACCTTGGCCTGCGGCGCCGCTAAAGTCAAAATTTATCAAAAGTTTGATTCAACTAACACCTTTGAAATCCCTGTGCTGCCCTTATTCCTTCTCGGTCAGGACCAGTGGTCTAAATGAATATGGTGTCCAAAAA